GGGTGTTCGTGCTGATGGATTGGCTACTGCAGCTCCTCTAGGTGTAGGGCTACTTTTTGACAAAACAGACGTGGTAAAGGCTCTCTGGGATCAAGTGAACAAAGCAGCAGAAGAGACTGAGCATCCATACATTAGCAGACTAATTCAGCGGGGGGAGGGGAGGGGGGAGGAGGGAGGAGGAGAGAATCTGGAAGATATTCAAAACTGGAAAATAGAAGAACTTCTAATCAGGTTGCAACTGATACAGTTAGCATAATGACTCTTCGTTGGCCACTGAATGTGGAGACGGATCACGTATAAGAATGTCGTTAGTGCAGTGATGTCAATTTTTAATTGATTGTTTGATTAATTAAATAATTGACTCTTTAATTGCATTTAATTTTTATTTATTTTCCCGAAGAGGCCGTGGAGCCCTGGAAAATGCAAACTGAGCCTTGAGGATTCGCGGAGCAATGGCTGCGAAGCGCTTGCTTATAGGAATGTCCCTAGTGCTACGCTGTCGGTTTTTAACTCAGTACAACTCCACGTCGGCTCTGTGGCTAAGTCGATGCGAACGCTTCGCTTCGTAATGCCGGGATGCCAGGTTCGATCCCAGCTGCAGGCAATGCGCCTTGCGTTGGTTTCGACAGTGGTATCAAGAAAGCCGACCGTCCAGAAGCAATGGCAAACTACTGGATGTAACTTGCCTAGAGAAACCACACAACAGCCATGGGCTGTTAGGGTTGGTTCTGCAACGTCCTGTAAAGGATACGCATTTAACTAACAACTCCACGTCATTTCTAACCATAAGGTTAGTTGCGTAGCCTTTACAGGACGTTGCAGAACCAACCCCAACAGCTCCTGGCTGTTGTGTGGTTTTTCTAGGCAAGTTTACGTCCAGTAGTTTGCCATTGCCCTCTGGACGGTCGGCTTTTTTGATACCACTGTCGAAACCAACGCAAGGCTCATGGCCCGCAGCTGGGATCGAACCCGGCATCCCGGCATTACGAAGCGTTCGCATCGACAGCCACAGAGCCGACTTCTAACAATTTTATGTATGTTTGCTATTTTCTTATGCTTTTTAATCACATTAAAAAAAATTTTTTTTAGTTCAGTTTATTAGGGCAGCAAACCGTATAGACACCGCCATGATCAGCAAATCTTGAAGTTAGCAGACGAACGAGCTGTAAATTAACGAAACAATTAACAAACAATCGGTCTCCAACATGGGCGACAGTGAGAGTAATTCGCACAGGGAATCTAGCAAACAAAACGGTGTTCTCACATCTAAAGACAAAAATGGGGTGTGTATATTTTGTTGCTGTTATCTTGATAAGGTTAACGTTGTTTAAATCTTGTTTGTTTGTGTACTAATTTTCATTAATAAAATGCATGTGGTTTAGACTAGTAGTTTAGTAGTCGTAGGGGCAGCGTTACGTAAGAATAAAAAAAATTGCCTGCTCTTTGCATTTTCTTTGTCCATGCAAGACTAATTTTAAAATACATTTATTCTTGTACAGGGACATAAAAGCTGCGTGTGGTGCTTGCTTTATTAAAATTTTAAAACCGTGACACGCAATAGATGGTGTAGCTTATATACGTAATAAGCCGGCTTGTTTTTTTTAAAACATTTGAACTAACTTTTTAACTCTTTTGAGTCCGGGGGTTTAGCTTCAAAGGCCCATGGTGGGTAATGCACATTTTTGGGGGGAATTTCACAAGTGTAACATTAAAACATATCATTATAATAATTCATCTACCTTGCAACATATACATCAAAGTGACCAGAGGTTGTTGAGGAATAATAATAGAATACGGCTATCCTCCGAATAACAGCCACATGAGGGCCAAAAACACATCCTGACAGGGCCTCATTGGGTCGTGTGTTGTAAATATCAAAAAACTTGAACTCGAAAATAATGAGGAATGAAAAAAAGAGAAAATGACGAAATCGACTACTTAGCGATAATTGAGGCCTTTATATCTGAAAAAAGTTGCAAAAAGTGCCCAAAAATCTGCTCTTTGTGGCTGTGGCGTTATTGAAACTCGGCTAAATATGATCTGTGCTACATTGTTAATGCAGTTTTCACCGCCGAGAGTATCTCCCGCGCTGCTACATGCAGTGCGAATCGGGGGCTAAACTAGATGGCTGGGACACGAGCAAATAAATTGGAGGAAGTTGCAGGAGATGCGGTAGCTGCTGCTCGTGAATCCCAGCCATCTAATTTTGCTCCCCCATCCGTGCCGTGCATAGCGGCACAGGGGATGCGCTCGGTGGTGAGTTTATTCTCAAGAACACTATCCCTATTATTGTGTGTATTGTTGCGTTTCTCAAAATTGTCAACAGATAGTAATCCTACTTTTGCCGCGGTGTGTTCGTCGGAGGAAGTCCGCAATTTACATGTGATTGAGGCCCTGACAGGGTGTGTTTTTGGCCGTCACAATATGTGGCCGTTTTTTGGAGGATAGACTAGAATACTGTTATAACAAATAATGGCTTCAGTAGTTGAATATTAGTAAACAAACAGACCTTTTGTTTACAGAACCTTAGAAATAAGTAATGTGAAATAATTTAAATGGCGCTCAAGGAAAAATATATCTTAAATGAATCACAAATGAACATGAACCACTTAGTAATGTATAAGTAAAATAGTAAAAAATATTTCAGGATTCTCACCAGTGCAACAGAGTTTGTGCACTGCACTGAGATTTTTCAGACGTAGGTTGAGTTAGAAGTAGAATGGAGCACTTATGGGTCACACCCGGGTGCCATTATGTTGATCCGTCGACTATACCAGACCATGTAAAATATAAACTGATTCTGTGTATTAGATCTGGTTCCATATAATCTTATGAAGCATCATAACAGAGCACCATTATTTGCTAAAGAGAACTGACTTCCCAAAACAGTATCATCATGCAACACAAAGCTTATATAACACTCAGTTTGCCTGTAATTATGTAGCTGTGTTCCTAAATAATAAGGGGAGTAGCACTAGAACTGACACTGAAGAAAATAGCCATTTTCACTAATATTTATTCTGTTTATGCCAGCTGATTTTGCTATATTTCTACCCTCAACGTGAGCTACACATTAGAGCTCTCTCTCATCAAAATTTGACTCTATAAATGACTGAAACAAGTCTACTTCAGAACATTATCTATCTAGCTTTGGATAAGTCTTAGTCTAATAAACATGTGCTTTATTTAAATCTGAGGACCATAAATCATGTTGCCATGCATGTAGAATAGTGCTCGGTGGCCATTTTATTTTCAGACAAACACTTAGTTACTCATTAAACCTCGCAGATGTACTATATTTTAGGTTTTTCACCACGTTTCCAAATGAGTCTCATGATCAGCACGCCTGATATCAAACTAAAAAAACCGGAAAGGAAGTTAAACTTGAACAGTCTGCATTTCGTTACTGATCAGTGGTAAATTAAAAGCTTTACTCGTGCGCTGATTGGGCTGCTAGGTTGTAAGCAATTAGCGCCTCATGCTTTCCTTGGGAATCTAGGAGTTAAATCTCGAGATAATTTTTATTGGGGACCTATTTTCTTTATAATTTTAGGCTTGGTCGATTTAAATTTATATATTTTTATTTTATCGTTTTTCCTGTCTGCGCCTATATTTTGGGGTTATAAACCCAGTTTCGTAATTCTGGTATACTGGTTTTGATTCAGCTGAAGTCGATTTAACATTGATCTGGTTTATTTCAACAATAGTGTCATCTCCATTAAGCAATAATTGAGTTGTCGTGAGTTAAGAACCGACAGCACAGCAGTCAGGACATTCCAAAAAGCCAGCGGTTCTCAGCTAATGTGAAACATTGTATTCCTCATTGATTAAATACACAAATGGTTTTCTTTTTTCGTTTTACTTTTCTGGCTTTGTATCTCTGTCCTGGCAGGCACAACAAGACAACAAAATTTCTTACTGAGTTAGCCAGTAAATTGAATGTAGCAAGGCTGTAGGCAAATAGAGCCATACTGAAATTTCTGCCAATGTGCTTCATAAAAGCTCAAAGGCAGAATGTAAAGTCAACTACCCTGTGAGCATTCCTTCTGTCCTAGATTGCTTGTGTGATTGGTGGTTTGCAGTTGAGATTATCAGCCATCCGTTTCTAATATGAAAGATTAGGATGAGGCTAAACATCGGAGTGCACTCCTCGATCTCTTATCGGCTAACTTTAAATAAGCTGACATTGTAATGCACTACTTGATATCTTATCTTTAACACTGATCGAGTTAGCTATCCTGTATGAGTTGAGAATTAAAGAGCAGTAAGTGGACAAAATGAAGAAGTAGGATGATTTTGTTATCAGTCTAAGGCAGGGCCATTCAACTAAGTTTACCCAAGGGCCATAAATTTGAAAACGGGGATTATAACGGGCCAGATGCCTGAGCACAAGTGTAGAAAATGATTAATATAATACAACTGGGAATGATCAGCGGGCCACTTGCTAGGTCTCTGCTGGCCACATTAAGCCCGTGAACCACCAGTTGAATAGTCCTGGTCTAAGGAGTGAAGAATAGGCAGTAGGCCTCTTTGTTGTTCCTGAATGAGCTGCAGGGTCCTATTTTGGAGGACAGATAGATTAGGCTTCTGTCTTCAATTCTTTTATACCGCTTCAAGTGTCAATAGAAAAATAGACTCACTGCCCTTAATTAAGCATGTCATGAAATGGTGACTGATTAAGGATTTGCTGGAATTGGATGAGGTTGGCAGAGCGGCACAGGAATCCATAACTAGCTGTAAACACAACACTGTGTACCAACTTCCTTTTTAAGGGTAAAAGTACAGAAGTACAGATTCCTTTTCACGCTTTTAGGTGTATCGGGTATATTGAAAGAGCACCCATACTTTTTACAGACCATCAGCACTAGGTGGGTAATGTGGTCAGCCTTGCGCCGGCAATTTTTATTTCCCCAGGAAAACCATCCTGATACCCATTTTAGGCTGGTTTGACCTGCGGACTTGCAACGCCTAAGCCACGGACACCGCCTTTTTAAGGGTGAATGAAGAAAAAACAAAGGATCAGACCTGCACAGTGGAGGAAACTCCATCATCAGGATCACCAGAAAGAAATGTTGGCAAAAGACTCAGCCACCAAAATAGGTAGGAAGGACCACTGTACAAGAGACTTACAGCTAACAGGATGAGGATTGGAAGGCCGTGGTCTGATTGTGAACCTTGAATAAGAGCAGCAGCCATGAACTGAGGCACAGCACCCATAACCTTAAGCAGGATATGAAGAAGGAACTCAGCATTAGTGGCCAAGGTGTAGTGGCCAAGGTACAGTGGCCAAGTTTTAGTGGCCAAGGTGTAGTTTCCACAATGATGACAAGGCATCAGGTACATGATTGCTTGTGTACAGAGAAAAGCAGCCCTGCATAGAGTTATAGTTAACCTCCTGGCAGAGAATGTCAGGAAAAAAAGTTGAATGGCTTTAATTGGAAAATAATAAAAATAATAATTTAAAAAAAAAGCCTTGCATATAACATCACAACATTTAGCATGAGAATTGAGGAGGAAGCAGTAATGGTGGCTTTAGAAATTATTACAACTGGGGTGTTTGATATTCCGTCCAATACATATGATTTCAGCAAACTCATAATGTACTTGTTAAAGATGGCTGTAGGTCTTCCCCCCCATCCCCTTTCCATTACCTATTTTTTGTGAATCTTCTGCAGAACACCTTCACAAATTAAAAAAATAATTTAACTTTGCTACTGGAATACCTTCAGTGTCTTTTTAAATATTTCTTTTGTACTTATGTAATAAACCAAACTCCTCCACGTCATAAATGCTTTAGACTCGGAGTTGATCACCTGGTGACAATTTAGTGAGAAGGTTATAAGCCTGATGTGTTGACGGGATGTCTCCTTCATCGGCATCTGACCTTTTGTATTCTGTGACTACCTGTGTTGTTGGTTGTTTGGTATTTTTAATTACTTCTTTTTTTCTAAGGCCTCTGTTTGTTGTTTTAGAATAAAAGAGTTTAAAGTTGAGAGGATCAGCTTCATTGTTTTATTCCATATGCTCAATCTCTGATCGCTATTTGCCTGCCGGGAGCATTGTACACAGTCTCAACTATGTAGCTCCAAGGACAATCCTCAGTCTAAAATTACACTTTGTGAAATAAACCCATGACCTTTATAACACAGAGCAAAGGGCTTAGCCATGAAGATCCCCTTTCTTGGACAACTTTTGCTTTAATTAATGAATGAATCAAAAATTGGCATCCGTGCATTCAGAAAATCAACAGTTCAGTCTTCTTCCTCAGTAGCCAACTAAGAGTGAGTCACTGTGCTAGTAGTACCAGCTGCAACCTGATTAAAAGTCCACCTATGTTTTCCCCTCAGTGTTAAATATCTTCCAGACCCTCTGCTATGTTTTCCCCTCAGTGTTAAATATCTTCCAGACCCTCTGCTATGTTTTCCCCTCTGTGAAGAATATATTCCAGACCCTCTGCTATGTTTTCCCCTCTGTGTTAAATATCTTTCAGACCCTCTGCTATGTTTTCCCCTCTGTGTTAAATATCTTTCAGACCCTCTGCTATGTTTTCCCCTCAGTGTTAAATATCTTTCAGACCCTCTGCTATGTTTTCCCCTCAGTGTTAAATATCTTTCAGACCCTCTGCTATGTTTTCCCCTCAGTGTTAAATATCTTTCAGACACTCTGCTATGTTTTCCCCTCAGTGTTAAATATCTTCCAGACCCTCTGCTATGTTTTCCCCTCTGTGAAGAATATATTCCAGAATGTCTGCTTCCCCCAGCTCCCTCTTTTTTCCTCCTTGCTGAATTAGTCTTGTGTAATTCCCGACAAGGACTTGTCCTTGGAAAGGAATGTCCCAGTCTTGCCAAAAACCTTTTCAGTTTTTGTATGTCCTCACTCAGTTGGACATTCTTTCCTGTCATCATCAATAGAAGTTTTCTTTTACCTTTTCATAGACCACAAGTAATCCTGTACATTGGTGTGGTGTTACTGCCACCTTTTTCTTTTCTAGTTTGCCAGTCTCATTCATTTTCATATATCCCAGACAGTTTCTTTGTATAATTTTTTGTAAGGTTCTTCAGTAAGCTAGCTTTGCTGTATTTGTTTAAGGCATACATTCGTAGCCGTAACCAGATTTCTGTTTGTGCTTGTATAGATAACGGCCCAGCTTCAGGTGGGGGATTATGTTTGCTGCACTGTATTACACTCTCAATTGGAGGTGCCCTAAGTGCTTATTCTCTTTAAGAGGGCCATGGTTCCTTTGTTTCTGTAGTGTGTAGCATGTTGGAAGTGTTGGCACATGATGTGCTTCATGAGGGAAAACTAATCGATACCTTTGAATCAATCGATTTAGGACCACAAAGATTTATGAAATACCACAAAGTTATTTCTTTTTTGGCATTAACCCATTCAGTACCAACCAACTTGGAGTGGTTTAAGTTTCAACTAATATATGTTTTCTTCCCCATTCTTCTCTTCAACTCCTTTTGCTATAGTGCTACGGTTTTAACTTCTCAGATTCAATTATTGATTGTTCAGACTAATTAAATATACTAAGAGTTAACATTCAGTATCAGCCAGGATGCAGAGGTGCTGAATAACACTTCAGCACCGGACCTATCTGCACTTTTCCACGGTCATCCTAGAATCAGTTTCTCAACCTCCCTGTGTGAGTTCCGGGCTGCTTTGTGGGGTTAACAAGAACAGACACACTGCCTACCCAAAATATTCAGGTGCTGAACAGGACTAGAGCCCAGAAGTGGACAAAGAACTAAAACTTTCCACAGAAGTTTAACAGCTGGTAAATGCAAAGAAGTTTCTCAGCCGGGGGCCTGGACAACGTAGATAGGCAAAGAGCCAGCTGTCTGATTTTTAAAACTAAACATCTGGTAAACATACCACTGTAGTAAGCTGCTTGCTTGCTTGTTGCACCCCACCAGGACATCACAAAAGCAACAAACACCTGGTGACACAAAGTGCCACCATGCTGATGAGGATCACCTGTGGATAGGTCCCAGAAACCCCTTTCAGCCGTTACGGCCACAGTTGTAGCCCAGCTAAATTAGCAGTGAGTATATCTTTTGCCCTGAAATCTGCATGTTGCTACTGACCAAGTGATTGAGTTATCTGGCCACTGAATGTCTTCCCTATCTACAAAGAGAGCACATCATTTAGTGATTCACAGCCGTTTCCTATTCTGGCATTTGCTCACAGCCAGCATCAGCTGTATAAACAAACTTCAGTTGTAAGCAGGTTGCTAGGATACACTGATTGAGCCTGCCACTACTGTTGTGTGCAGTCACTAGGTTTGTTTGTTTTTTGAGTGCAGTCTGATCATTTATCCATTGATATCTTTTACATTTGTCAATTTTTCAGTAGTGTCTAATTACTTTCTAACTTTACATTCATGTGGGGGGAGTGCAAACTAATTGTGATGTGTTTTGCACCGACTGGCTGTAATTTTACACCCACTGGCTGTAAAGAGCCGCTTTAATGCATGTTTTGTTTTATACATATGTACCCATAATTTATTAGTTGAGGATGTTCTGGTTTGGGTTCCACAGCCCTTTTTTTCAGAACAGTGAATAGACCAGTGCCCCACTAACAAGCATGTCGTAGGAGCCAGCTAATTAAGGGTGATTCCTTCAAAGTCGGAGTGCATCTGCCTAAGAGGCATGGAACCAACAGTCTGCATGCAGATAAGCCAGATCTGTGAAAATAATGTGTATGCAAAACTCACATTCTGTATCAGGCAGGAGCAAAGTTCAGGAGCGGATGAACAGCCAAAACTTTCCGTCAGAACTTGCAGCTGATGGACACTAACAAGAAGAAAGAGAAAGAGGTTTAGTTTAAATATATAGCTCCTAAAATCATAACATGTGATTGTGTTTGTGTTGATTGATTTGACTAATATTTAAGACTAGACATCGTAACACTCTTGACCTAGCCATAGATGCTCTGTCTCTTAGAATAAAAATCAAAAGATTAGAAATTAAGTGTTCCAATAGCATGCTGAATATCTTATTCATCTTCTTTTTCTTCTTTGTCATTGTCTTCTTCTTCCTCTTCCTCTTCCTCTTCTTGTGATTGTGTACTTTGTTTTCACTGACATCCCAATGTTGGTTCCTGGGTCTCATTTTGAGGAAAAGAGAATGGACCTAATGTCCCTCAGCAGCCATGTCGTGAAAGGCAAGGAGTTAACAGTTTGCTGAAATTTGATGTATTGTTTTGTCTTAATTAATGTATTGTTCTGACTTGATTGATGCATTTTTAGTCTTAATTTATGTATTTCTCTGTTTCAGCAAATCACTGCACGCCTGTGTCTGGCTGCCTTTGGAGCTGTTTTGGGTTCTTTTCAGTTTGGTTACAATACAGGGGTGATTAACTCACCAGAATCTGTGAGTCACACTTATTGTCATCACCATCATCACTAAGCAGGTCCGATGCAGATCACCACTTCTGTCATGGTGGTCCTTTGTTCATAGTCTCTACTAGTTCCTGCTTTTTATGCATTTTTAGGTTCCATGTGTCTTTAATGTCCTGTGCTTTTTGTATGTCCTCTGCTAACCTTTATGTTGGTCAGCTCTAATTCTCCTTCTAGGAATCATGCCTACCATTTTTGTTCTTCAAAATCAAATAAAGACTAAAAAGATAGGAAAAGCATATAGTATATTTCAGCTTTACTCAACCAGTAACAGTAAATTAACAAAGGAATTTGTTGTGATTAGCTTTCACCAGCACAAGAATGGCGAGAAACAAAACACAACACACACAAGTTGAAATGATTCTAAAAAGACACTGCACTGTTTAATACATGTTGTGACCCTCAAGCATACTGTCTTGTTTGTGATCCTTGCCCGAAAAGCATAACAAATACTGAAGAAGAGGCAGAAGAAGAAGCATAAACAGCAGAAAAAGAAGAAGATACAGGAGAAGGATGAGGAAAAGAAGAAAATGCAGAAATAGGTTGCAACAGCAGAGAACTAGGAAGAGGATGAGAAGAAAATGATGGTATTGGCCATGATGGTAAGGAGTAGGACCATGTCTCACCATCTGACAACACCAGCTTCAGATCAAGTCTATATTCTTGTATCGATAAATCCATGTGGTTTAGTTATGTAATTGTCTTCCCCTTGCTCTTGTCCTAACGAATTTGTAACTTCTTAACAGATTTTCCAAGTTAATTTATCATTATGACATGCTAAAAAAAGTTGTGACTTTCTGATCAGGTGAACGCTTTCGCTGCCATGATAATATCTTCTTGTTCAGAGTTCTGAATTCTTGAGGTTCATCACTGCAGATTTGGCCCACCTTCATTCGTCTGTGGATGACCTTTTCTTTCTAGCTGGTGGCTACAGGTGTTTGTAGGTCTGCTTGAATATTATCTCTGCACATCGTCTTTGTCGGCCTCATGGTCACTTCCATTCATATTTTTTTGTGTACCCGGTTTTTGTCTCTCTAATGATGATGTTTAATGGAATATTCACAATATTTAGATAATCAACTGTCATCCTCATCATCAGGTGCCTTGCTGACTAGCATTGTTGATTTTGCTTCAAATCTTGCAGTCTCCAAAAGCATTTATCAGTTCCTCTGCTGACAAAAAACTCAGGGGAATGATAACTTTTAGTGATTGTAGCAGTAATTATCAGAAATATGTATAAACTAGGGCTCTACTGAATATTCGCTTCGTATTCGCTTCGGGGCCGAATAGTGGACCTAATAATTATTCGGTATTCGGCCGAATAGTTGCAGTCGAGCCAAATACGAATAGTGGTTACCTTACACCCATTTCTGGACTGCTGGAAAATAAACATATCAAGATTTCCCACCTTGGTTCATACTGTCAAGGGTTATCTTTGTGCACCACCTATGAGCGTACCAAGTGAACGTCTGTTCACAGCTGGAAATACCTTCAGTGAGACAAGAAGCTGCGTTATTGCTGACAACATAAAACAATTTTTTTTAAAGCTAATGCCGCTTTCATGGATTAACTAAGATATCAGTGACAATTTACAAATTTTAATTACTTGTTTTAAACTAAGAATACTTTCATTCCTAAGTATTAGTTACCACAGATTGACTGACTGAATGATGCAAACATGAAATGTTTTTAAATGTTTTCTATTCGGTACTACATTTTGTGAAGTAAAATTTCAGCGTACATTTAAAATTATGGATGTTTTTTTTTTTTTAGATATATTTCATACACGAAAGTGGAAGAATGGGCCTCAGTTTGAATAGTGGGAAGACAGAAGTAATGGTGCTATCATAAAAAAATAATTATTCCTAAATGTGTAATAAAAGTGGTTTTATTTTGGGACAAGTACAGAAATTTAAGTATCTGGGCACATGGATAACATCAGATGGAAGATGCATTACTGAAATAAGAAACAGAATAGGATATGCAAAAAATGCATTTTATGAAATGAAGAACATCTTATGCAATATATCTTTGTCATTGAAGGTTAGAAAAAGAATTCTTGCTTGCTACATACATCCAGTTTTAACATATGGCTGTAAGTCCTGGACAATCGGTAGGCAGGTCAAACAATTTCTTAAGGCCTCAAAGATGTGGTTTTACAGAACAATGCTTAAAATACCTTGGACAGCCAAAGAAAAGCAACCAAGAGGTTTTGATAGAGGCGGGAGCTCGAAGACAACTACTCACAGACATCAGAAGGAGACAGTCATCATTTTTTGGCCATATTATAAGATGAGGGAAAATGGAACATGTGGTGACTACTGGAAAGATATGTGGGAGGAGGGATAGAGGAAGACAACAAGAGAAGATTCTTGACAGTCTTGTTGCATGGCATGCAGGTGTGATAGCACATGAACTAATACTTGCTGCAGGATATCGCAGATTGTGGAGAGATGTAATCGCCCATGCCAGTCGGCAAGGCACCTGATGATGATGATTCGCTATTCGTATTCGGCCGAATAGTTGGTCCAGCTATTCGTATTCGGCTGAATAGTGAAAATCACTATTCGGTACAGCCCTAGTATAAACCTTGTTACAAATAGTACAGATGACCTAGACATTGCAGCCACAATGTGGTCTGCAGATTTCACCCCTCTACTGGTTACCATTTGGTAGATGTTCTTTTGACAAAAATATACAGAGACATGAATATTCAGTTTTATATTATAGATTAAATGATTACTACTTTTTTCTGGTGTTTGCGATAGGTTGGTCTTTGCTTCTTAGCCTCTTTTAAAACATTCAGAGTGCTAATTGTGGCTGTCTATGTTGTGTATTTTTGTTATATGAACATACACATTGTTTGTAGATAAAAATACATTCGCGTGTGAAATGAGTTTTGAAAGGGCTGTGTAAGATTGGCTTGTGTGCCAATTTGCAACCCTTTAAAATAAAATTTGTTTGTCCAAGGAGCTGTCAGTGTTCTCCTGAAAAATTACATCTTCAGCACCTTAAAAATGTATTTAGCTTGTTCACAATTAGTTAAAACATATTTTGTTAACATGCCAGAAATCGTTGTAATCTTCACTGACTGGGCTTTATTGCGCAAGATGTTGTTCATGTCATAACATGCAGTTTTTGCTTGTCTTATTCACTTCTTTATCTTTATGATGCATCTTCCATCTGATGTTTTACCTGTGACTAGGTATTTGAAGTGTACTTATCACAATTAGTAATTCACACATCAGCTACCCTGTTTTCCTTAAATTAAGATCTTATATTACAATGGGGTCTGATATTAATTACTGCCCTAGAAGATACCTTAGGGCTTTTGTCAGGCCATGTCTTATTTTCCCATGTACAAAAATCTGCATTTAGATTATAATTTATTGAAAGCTTTAATGTCAACAATATTATCTGTGTAATTTCTTAATACATTCATTAATTTTTTTAATTGAACACATCCATCATGTGTTTTAACCCATCAGTCTGGGTGACAATTTTACTAGGCCTTATATATGGAGAATGTCTTATATTACGAGCATCCTGATAAACCATATCAGGTTTTTCCTTAGTTTATTCTTATTTCTCTTCCTTACTCTTATTTTCTTATATTAATTAGAATGAGACTAACCTGTATACCAACTAATTAGACTGACTTATTATCCTTGTGTGAAATAATTCCAGAGCATAAAGATGTTCATGAATGAGACAGAGTATGCAAGAAGTGGCGGAGGTATGTCCGAGAACAAGACCACCAACATGTTCGCTCTCATCGTTTCCATTTTTGCTGCTGGTGGGTGCTTTGGTGGCTTGATGGCAGGATGGTGGGCGAACTACTTTGGCAGGTAGGCATTATACAATCATCTTTCTGTTCCTGTCATTTTGGCACAGCTTTTCTCCAGATTTGTTGGTGTCAGCTTTTGGGAACTATGATGATCAAGCAGTTCATCAGTAAGATCCCCTGTGTGGGTCCTAGGTCCCATTTTGGAGGCAAAAATAATAGATCCACTGTTCCTTAAGAATCTAAGACTTGAAAAGCGACTCGTTAAGGGTTCCTGAAATAAAATGTATTAGCCTGAAAGTTGCTGATGTTGCAGCTTAGCTTTAAACCACCACTGCTTTCACAGGTTTCTTTCAGAAGTGATAAGCCAGGTACCTCAGTTTGCTTTCTTTTAGTGTTATAGTGATGTGGATATGCAAATGAATAGATTGTATTTTAGGGGAAAAAGGAAAACAAAATAATAATAGATTTATTGCCCAGTTAAATAATGGTTTGCAGAAATCAGATATATTTTACAGTTAAGTGCAAATATCACATCCTAGCTGTAAACTACAACTGCCTCCATGTGGTCTTAAGGACAGGAAGGACAGGCTTTTGTCACAAGTTAAAGTACTTCAATTTGCTTTTTATCTTTTGGTGATAGAGATGTTCATGTACAAAAAAATGTCTTTTATTTCATGAAAACAGAATAAGTTAATATGCGAAGCTGCATTGTATCATATTCTGGATTGCTTCTTTAAATACTTCTCTGTCTAAGGATGGGAAGAACTGCCTGTGCACACTCTGGTGGTTTCTGAGCTTAACAGGGGAAGCATTCTGCAACATAACCTTTTGGTACTAAAATGCCACCTTCCTGTCTGTCTGTCCATCTGTTAGTCTGTCTGTCTCTTTCCTTCCTTCTTGTCTCTCTTATAAACACACATGCACCTAAATTAGAAAACAAATGAGTGAAATACTTTGCTAAATTGTTTGAAATAGAATTTGCTAGGATGCTGTAGAGAGAGGGAGGGAAGGAGGGAGAGAGAGAGAGAGAGAGAAGAAGAAGGAATAGGGAGAGGAAAGTATAAGTAATAGGAACAAGATTTATAGAATGTTGCCAACAGTATTTTGCCTAATGTTAAAACACGAGTCAACATTGTTCTCTGCCTATATAACGTAACAGTCAGTGTTCTTTTGTACACAGTCACACTGATTTGTTTTTTTTTTCTCCTGACAGAAAGAAAGGTCTGCTGCTGAATACTGTCTTTGGCATTGTTGCTGCTCTCCTGATGTACTTCAGTCGGCTAGCAGACTCCTACGAGATGATTATTGTTGGCCGTTTTGTTGTTGGATTTAACTGTGGTAAGTAAAGGACCCTTTTCCATGCCTTCAAGGGGTATTGGGAATATACCGCTAGACCTCTATAAACCAATCCGCACTTGGTGGGTGATGTGGTCAGCATCATGCTGGCCGCCTTTACTTCCCAGGACTTCACCTGGTACCCACTTGAGGCTAGGAACCAGGTCATTTTTTTTTAAAGAAAAGGTCCAGTACCGTTTGGACTCTAATCCATGACCTTACTGGTAAGTATTCATTAAAAAAAAAAAGACATTGCAGATATCATCATAATCATCATTTGCTCTGCTGTAAAGCGTAGGCAGCCATGTTTTGTCATTTCACACGATCACCAGATTTATGGTAAGTACTCATGTTCCCTATGTGAGTTCCAGGTTCCATTTTCTTCTACTTCTTCTTTGCGTTCACCAGCTGTAAACTCTGGTGGAAAGTTCTGGTTGTTTGTCCACTTCTGGACTGCAGTCCTATTCCAGAACCTGAGTGTCACATTTGCATCCGATCTGACTCATTTGTGTGCAGACTTTTAGTCCATTGCCTCTCAGGCAGATGCACTCTGACTTTGAAGGTAGCTCCTAGTTATTCGACTCTCACAACATGCTTTTGAGTAGGCAGTGGGTCTATTCGTGTTTTTCCCTATAAAAGGGCCCCAGAACCCACACAGCCAGTTCCAGGTTCCCATTTTGGAGAAAAAGAATAGACCTAACTAGCATGTCATAAAAGGTGACTAATTAGGAGTTTTTCTTGTTAAGTCAGAGTGCATCTGAGAGGTAAGGAACCAGCAGTCTGCATACAAATAAGCAAGATCTGTAAAACAGATGTGCATGCAAACAATTGAACAAGATTACTTCTTCTTTTCTCTCTACTCACTCCTAGAATACTTTACAGCATCAAGGCAGGAAAAGATCTCTGGAGTGGGTCCTTCTTTTTGCTTCATATATAGTACTTGTCTCCAGTATTTCTGTGCTTCATCTTCTGCAGGGTTGACCTCTGGCTCTGTTACCACTGTATCTGTGGTGCACTGTCTGTTGCCAATCTTGTTACATGGCTTAAATATTTGATCTGTTTGAACAGGACTTAAGTCCAAAAGTGGGCCAAGAACCAGAATATTCTGCTGGAATTTACAGCCGGTGAACGTAAAGAAGAAGAAGTACTTGTGTGTCACCTCACCCATATGGCCAAACTGTATATACAACCTGTCTCAAGTGAATTAAAGAAGAAAGAGGATCAACTTCCTTGCTCCTGGGTTGTCCCATTTGACTCAGTCTGTGTCCACAGAACAGCTTGCTGAGAGCATCACATAAACTGTGTAGCTCCAGCAAAAATCTTGAGAGATTTCTGTAAAAATTACCTTGACCACTTTACCATGGGGACCTCAAGAAAAATAGAATTGTGGTCAGCAGTCTATTTAAAAAAAAAATGGAAACAGCACTGCAGATATAGACCATCTGCTCTAAATGAATGAACTGAAATGAAATAGAGCTGGACTGCCCAGTATTTACTCAATTTTAAGACAATCACAACTTCCCTGGGCAGGTCATATAGTCCGCATGCCTGACCGCTGACTGCCAAAAAGAATTTTGTATGGTCAGCGACTAAAAGGGAAATGCTGTCAAGGTGGACAGAAGAAATGTTTTAAGGACAACCTCAAGATCTCACCGAAAGACTTCTGTATTGATACTAAAACCTGGGAAGTTGCTGCATGTGACCGCTCATCCTGGCGCTCCTCTCTTCATCGAGGAGCTATGGCCCATTAAGCTGCTAGATTTGCAGCAGCAATTCCGAAAAGACAAGCCAGGAAACACACTGAAGCAAATCACCAGAGAGATGTGGCTTCACTTCCCTGTCCACACTGCCCACGAACTTTCAGTGCTAGAACTGGCTTTATCAGCCATCTGCGCACTCACAAAACCTAATCCAGGCACCATTGGATGAAAGGATTGGTGATCGTGACCTGTGATGGACGATCAACAAGCAAGTGAATGAACGAAGAAGAAGAATTGTGTGAACAGTCTCATAAAAGAAGACACTATAGGTATAGACCAACTGTGTCAAATGGACGAATGAGAATGAATTGTTGCGAGTACAAGTATGATGACATGATAGTGATTGTTTCATGAAGAAGCTGATGATGAGAATGTTAACAAGTTAAAGTAACAGTTTGAAATCTGTAGGGGTTTTGTAAAAACAGGCTAAGACAGCAGGAGTTACAACAAAAAAAAAAAAGCCAGAAAAAAAAGACCCATAAATGCATAAGTTTCTTTGTACTGATTGAGTTGAGTCATTCAAGAATTTTAATACATTTACTTACTTTACCCAAGGGAGCAATTTTAGTGTAGTTTGGCTAGACACTCGCCTTCTGATCCGAAAGTCTTGGGTTCAAATCAGCATTGAGTGGGATTTTTCTTTCACTGTTGACCTTGGCTCCCAGACTGAGCTAGCCTAAATTGGAAACCAGACAATTTCCTGGGAAGTAAAGTTGGCTGGTGTAATGGTGACCACATCACCCGTCGAGTGACAGTTGGTCTTTAAACATTTAATTTTAGCATCATATGCCCGCTTCACCCCTGGCGTTAAAAAGAGAGTCCCTTACTTTACTTTTACTTACATTTGCCAGGTCTCTACACCGGTCTGTCGCCAATGTACCTGTTTGAAATATCCACACCCAATATCAGAGGTGCCCTCGGAGTGCTGCACCAGTTAGGTGTCACTGTAGGATTGCTGGTTTCTCAAGTCCTGGGCTTCTCAGAGATCTTTGGGAACTCCAGCTTTTGGGACCTCCTGTTGGGTAAGAAATGTGTTGTTTGTCAGTCAGGTGTCATGTCAACAGTGAAGGTTGCTACAGTGGGTCTCCAGCTGACTCCTTCTCTTGTCCTAGTTGTTCATGCTGTCAGTTTGCTGTTTGTCCATCTCTTGAAGTAATCTTTTCACTTATATTGTTGTCTGCATCTGGCTTGGCTGGCGTCAGCATTTTCCTAGAATTAATTTAATGGTTTCTCTTTTAATGTAGTCAAAATATTTTACCTATCTCTTCTTTTAAACTTCTTTCAACAGCCCTCTTTTTTATTTCCTGTCTCTCCAGCATCTCTGTATTTGATTATTTGTTTCTCTACATAAAACACTACATCTTCTGTATATCTCACAAACCTGGGCCTCAGTTCAGCTTTCTAATTGCTTGTTTATTCTCCCAGTTTCTGAGTAGTATAGCTTAATATACTTTCTTCTTCAGCAGTGCTTAGTCCACTGTGGGCCATAAACTGGGATATCAGCTCAAGGACTTTTAGGTTTCCTCAAAGTTGTCAGGTCTACTGGGTGTGGCCACCTGTTGCTTTGCATCTCCTTCAGGAGAGGGTAGTTTTGCAAGACATATTCTGGGTTCTGTTCACACAGAGACACTAGCTCAGATCTGTTGGCTCACACCTAGTTAATGAAAGTTTTTTTTTTTAAAGTCTGCAGTGTCTAGTGTATAAGCGATATATAGTTTTGACTTGGTCTATTTTATTTAGATGCCATAACATTTGACAGTTCTCATTTATAATGTGTTGTTTATCTCTGTAGCTGTTAGCATGTTATGTTGTTGAAAATATGCTTTATTGGTCCGACTCTATGAAGTTCTCTTCATATAGTGCAACAGTATGCTAATACAGTGTTCATTGTTTTTATTGTCATATTCTTGCTTAGAGTACTAAAATGTTATATCAGACTTGTTCCGCAGGGTGTTTTGGAATATAAATGAGCAAATTAGGAAAAGGTTGGAGGCAGTGGAGAGGAGGCTTTTCATAAGCATATTATGCATACCTTTGACAGCCAGTCAGATTAACCAACAGGGATTGCCTGGAATAATAATATAAAAAAAGTAAAACATTATATGCAACTGTAAGAAATAGGAATAGTGGCTGCCGGGTGGTTGGAATGCTGGGCTTTCATGCAAAAGATCTAGGTTCAGGGATAACAATATTTCGGCTGAAAAAAAAAATCTTTACCCACACTGTGGCAATTGCAGTAGGCATATGATCTCAAATCATCAGCCTCTTAGCCACAATAAACTGACAGGAAAACGCTTTTCTTTACCTAATGACACTATTTTATTACAGGTCTAACAGTTGTTCCCTGCCTCCTGCAGCTAGTCATCCTTCCATTTTGTCCGGAGAGTCCCAGATACTTGCTCATTTCTAAACATCAAGAACGGGAGGCCAAAATAGGTGAGGTTTCCATTATTAGGTTAACTACAGACAGTACTTAGCGTTTGATAGATCAAAATCCTCTTCATATTGAGCTTTTTGTGTAAAAACTCTTGCACAAATTGATTTGACAACAGGAATGGAAAATTGAAATGAGGTGAAACCTGACATCACAGCACTCAGGACAATCCTGTAATTACTCCATTCCCATCTCCAGCAGCCAGCGCACAGTTTCAGTTCCAGTGGTACTAGGAGCAGTCTGATTGTGCATCCACCGTCAATCGGAAAATTTTAGGGGGAAGAGATCCACAGAGAGATCAAGAGAGAAGATGTTGGCATAAATTAACATTTGCGTCAGAAATAATTGGTAGTATATGGAAGAAAAGGCAGTGGATAGACAGGATTTCCTGTGCCATTTGGCTTGGACTGTATAAGAAGAATGAGTTTGCATGTTCAGGATATGCAGCAGTTATGATGGAATGAACCAGCTGATTTTATTGGCTCCAATGGAGCAGTGGTGGTAATGCTCATATAGGACGAGGTGGGCATTCCGAAGAGCATTTATGAATAACTGCTGGTGGAAGATACCCTGTTAGATGAAACAACATGGAATTATGTGTGAATTTGGCAAGAAAGTTGTATGAGTGGGAGAATACATTGTGTACAACCAGTGTGCTACTGGAACAGTTGGCATCTTCACCTTAAGACATTTGCTGGAGGTGATGCAGCACCTTTGGAAATGCCTGACAGGCTGTGATGCAATTTGTAAATTAGTAAGCAGTATTTTCTCTAGCCTCAGGTTGGAAACTTTTTGAATACACCTCTTATAATGTTGGGTTGATTGAAAAGTTCTGATTTGCCTAGACAAAACAGTCTGTGTCGATCGTTTGTCCTGCGTATATTGACTTGAGTGCTATTCTGTATTAGTTTTTAATGTTTGAAACTAACATTAAAATATTCAATGAAGTTTACTCTAAGGTTTTTACTTTGTTTTCAAATCTTTGTTTCTACATTCAGGCTCAGATGTATTCAATTCTTTGCTAGTTTCATTTTCAGACAGTGAATTTTCGAATTCGTCTTCGACTGACTATGGATACCAATGTTTCTGACACAAGTTCAGGCTGCAAAATGCACCTTTTTGCTGCTGAAACTCTGAAATTGTTTCAGTCAGATGTTCTTGTTAGCTTCCTGGCCGAGCTGGACTTAAAAAAAAAAACCTTGACTTCCAGGTTGACCCAGCCTTTAGTGGGTACCAGGTGCAGTCCCAGGAAGTAAAGTATGTTATGATGCTGACCTCATCACTCATCTTGTGCCGACTGGTCTGTAAAAATATAGGTATAGCCCTACATGCCCTATAACCTTAAGGCGTGGAAAAGGGACCTTTACTTAACTTACTTTACAGATGTTTCATTTATTCATTGCAGCTCTGGTGGCCCTTCGTGGAACTTCTGATGTTGAAGATGATCTCAGTGAAATGAAACAAGAAGAGAAGGCACAAAGCAGAGAGGAGAAGGTATTATATATATTTTAATAACAAAGCTGTGACCATTTTGGGGCGTAGCATACTTTCAGACCACTGATTGGTTAGTGGCACAGTTGGCTTTCAATCAAAGTTATAGCTGATTATTGACATAGTGTGCTTTCTGAGTTATATTTCATGATGTAGTGTGCTTTTTGAGTTCTGTTAAGTGACAATGGCACAGCCTGCTCTCAATGAAAGTTCTAACTAGTTAATGGCATAGAGTGCTTTCAGTGATAGCAGCGAGCAAAATGGTTTTCGAGTATGCCATGATAAGAGCGATATCCTTCTTCCAAAGACCTACTATATGATGAGAATGGTATCTCTAGTATCATTGGTCTGTATTTCAGATGACTGTCTTTAATCTGTTTGTCACGTGCAGTCTTAGTGAGATTAGGTTTTGCAGATGATAGCAGCTTAGCTGTAAAGCACAACACGTCATGACAACCACCAGCAGAAGAAGAAGAAGAAATTTCATTGTCAGCAGACCCCCAGTCCTTGCCTAACCGGGGCTGATAAAAAGGGGATTGCTTGAGGCAGGACTATCCAAGTGAGTTTACTTAAGGGCCACACATTTCCAAATTTAGGATCTTAGCAGGGCCAGAGGCTCAAGCTTGGAAATATTAATACAGTTTAACTGGTAATGATCCACGGGCCACATGCTAGACCTTCACCGGCCGCCAGTTCAATGGCCCTGGTTTAAGGCATCATTGCCTTTATTTTAGTTAGTTTTATTTCAGATTATCTGGCACATATTTTTGCAGAGATTACTGCGGATCATTGTTGAAGCTATGAAGTTCTTGCTTTGTTCAACAGTCGTTTAGCTGTGTTGTGACGAGAGACTGAGCCATATGGGATCAGACTCCGTGTAATGACATTGATCCTCCTGGTTTCAACTTAACTTTAAGACATCACCAACCTAACGCACAGAGATGATAAGTGTATGATGTATTGTTGTCTTTGTTTCAGGTAACTGTTTTCAGCCTGTTTGTCAGACGGTCCTTCCGGATGCCTCTGATGATCGGCATTGTGATGCAGTTGTCACAGCAACTCTCTGGAATTTGTGGGGTGAGTTCCCTAACCAGTTTAGGTTAATTTACGCTTGAGAAGAACATTTTTTTTAAACTTCTTCCTCTTCTTAGCATTCAGCAGCTATAAAATACATCAGGAAAAGACTCACTTTTGCCATGCGGAGTCTAAACAGCATGAAGAACTGATGGTACAAAAGCTGCAAGCCAGGTAAAGTAACAATTTTGAGGTGATGCAGCTTTCCTGTGGCAACATCGCTGTGAGTCATGTACTCTCTACTCAGTCTTTGAAGAACAATTTTAAGCTTTTGAACTGAAATTCTACAACAGAACTCTTAGTATACCCTGGACCAAGAAGAAGATAAACATATAATCATCAACATCCTATATGTTCTGATCGTCAAGGAGAATTGGCCCATAAAAAGCATCTTATCGCGTAAGCTCAGATATTTTGGCCATCTTAAGTATCATGGTAGTTTGGAGAGAATGGTGATGGAGGGTGTAGTTTCTGAAAAGCCGACCTACACAGATTTTGATAAAATACAATAAAGATGCTTTGGTTGTGAAAGCACATGTGACCTGAGAATAAGTGACTTTCAGGCATGCCGTGATGAGAGTGGCATTCTGTTAAGGACCTGGACTTGTTGATTGAGGATGAATCAGCACTCAGTGGGTCATGTGGCAAGCATCATTTCAGCCACCTTTACGTTCCTGGTGGGCTGCCTGGTCTCGAGACATGGCGTCTGCCTCGAGTGCTGGAGGCTCAAGCCCCAGTAAAGGCTGGGATTTTTTCACATGGAATAGCTGTAGTTTCCCCTGGTCTCTGGGTAGTAAAATCAAATGCTTGTATATATTGTTTGTTGCGCATGTAAACAAAACAAATTCCCCGGCAGTTGGAAATCGAAAAGTGTTGCCTAACGGTGTTGCCCGGACTAAATTTTTAGTTAAAAATCTACCAAAAGTATTTCAGGATTCTTGCCGGTGCTATGGAGTTCATGCACTGTGCTGAGATTCTTCAGACTTAGGCTTGTGTCAGAAGTAGAATGGAGCACTTATGGGTCACCCCTTGTGCGATGATGTTGATCCATCGTCTAAACCTAAACCTTTACTTTGCTGATTTCATGTTGCCTATTTTAGGATGGAGAAATCTGGAGACTTAATTATAAAAGTCCTCCAGATGCAGATTTGAACCCTAGATATTTGGGGTGGCAAGTAAATGCCTGGGCACTGCGCTCCGGCAACTTCCATTGTCAGCACACCGCAGTCCAATACCCAGAGATTTCAACATGCAATATTTACCTCTACTTGTGTTCTTATTCCGATATTACAGATTTTCTACTACTCTGCCAGCCTGTACAGAGATGCAGGACTTGATCCAACAACTGCCAACTATGCCACAAGTGGTGTGGGTGTGGTTATGGTTGTCATGACACTTGTCACCATTCCTTTGATGGACAGGGCTGGGAGGCGGACCTTGCATCTGATTGGCCTGGCCGGGATGTTTGTGTTCAGCATTTTGATCACAGTGACATTAGTACTGAGGGTAATTGTCTGTTTCCTTGTGTACAGTTAACGTTGAAATATAAAGCATTGTCATTTTTCTACCTTGTCTACTGCTAACATTAAAATATACAATGCTGCTGTATTTGCCTCACATGTGAGTATTGTTAACATTAAAATATCTAATGCTGTCTTTCTCACACCTTCTGAACTGTTAACATTCAGATATCTTATACTGTCTTTGTTTTAAACATTGTGTACTGTTAACATTAAATGTATAATATTGCCTTTGTCTCTACCCTGTCTGCCACTAACATTGAAATATGTTATGCTGTCTTTGTCCCACACTTGAGTATTGTTAACGTTAAAATATTTAATGCTATCTTTGCCTCCCAGCATTGTGTACTGTTATCAATAAAATGTCTGATATTTTGTATTCTTCTTCCTAAATGTGTGTTTATGTTATGCAGTCTCCTATACTGTGTGTATGTTCTTACAGAATTTTGTTTTTTTAAACTGAAAGAGCAAACTTCTTAGCAAGATATGGGGTAAAACACTGAACAGCCAGATAGAGGATAGAAGAAAATAAAACCCAGATCAAGGCATCAGTTAGAACCAATTGTAACACTTCCCACCCGGAACACAATTCTTAGAACTGAATCAGCCTCCTTACATGAAAGCAGCAGACCACTGTATTTAGACTGTGAATTGCCAACAGCAGACTCTGCAGCCCTATGTACAGGGTATTAAAGATTAACCACTCGCAACTTTGCTCCTGTAGACAGGCACCCCTGATTATGTGCTGCTGACATGATCTCTACATGCAGGTCTGGCCAGATAACATTCTGGTGGAAACCAAGCTGTTTGGAGCTTGGAAGTATATACATCAGACCTAGCCTTCATAGATACCTATGTATGTTAAAGCTTTTGAACTGCATGGCCTTCTCATCTGAAAACCCACTGGCAGAATGTGAAGAAAAAGAAACAAATATCTGTTTTGTTGTTGCATTGTCTTTCTGTTGTTTTTATTGAAATACTTTTTGTTTCTTCTTCTTTGTCACAGCAAACAGTCTCATGGTTCAACATACTCAGCATTGTTGTCTCTTTGCTGTACGTTGTCTTCTTCGCACTTGGCCCAGGTAAATTTTACTGTGAGATTGTTTAAAGGCTTGTCGATTAAGAGTAGTTCTACATTTTCTTGAAATATTTACAAACTGCAAAATTCCTGATTGGGGTCACCATGGTGTAGCGGCCAGACACTCGCCTGCAGGTGGGTAGGTTGTGGGTTCAGGCCCTGGCAGAGCCAGACTTTTGTCATAAATAATCTTTGCTTCCAGGTCGACCCAGCCTTGAGTTCATACCAGGTGCAGTCCTGGGAAGTAAAGGCGGTTGGCGTGATGCTGACCACATTACCCACCAGTTGCCGATTGGTCTGTAAAATGTAGGTCTAGCCCTATATGCCCAGTGCGCCTAAAGGCGTGGAGGCGAGATGCTTAGCAGAGATTAGAACAAGAATAGCCATAGTTAAAGTGGTCATAAGCAAGGTACAATAGATGTTCAAGGATAAAAAGAAATCAGTTGCAATATGAACAAAAAATAAAGTGTGTTATGGAACCTGTGTTTTATTCGTGTAAGACGGGTATAAGCTGAAAAATACACCTGCTCGCCACAGCGATGTGGTTTTTGAGAGATATGCAATAAATATAGAATGATAGGTACAGGTGAGAAGATTGACTTCATTGAATCAGATTTTGCCCCATATGGCTCTGTCTCTGTCCGCAGAACAGCTAGTTGCCTGCAGAGTGTCACACAGAGCATGACTTCCGTAGCTCTGGTGACAATCCTAGGGATCTTCGTAAAAATTGCACTCGTGGACTGATTGGCACCGCCGTGAAATGAACCCATGACCTTCAGAGCGTGAGGCAAATGACTTGATCTTTTCGCCATGGAAACCCCTATAAAATGATGGAAAAACGAGTGACCTGCCCTTCTGGCGACGGATGAGAACTAAACTGACTAGAGGACTTTGATTTAGAGTTTCTAACCTGCACTGTCTGTGGCGACAGCACAAGCCAGGCGGCCCTCAACCCTCAAGCTCAGTGCCCCTCGTATATGCTGCCCTGAAAAGTGGTAAAACAGACAGGGACAGTTGTTTTTAGATGTAGACAGCATTTTTTAGACATGCCCTGAAAAGTGGTAAAACAGACAGGGACAGTTGTTTTTAGATGTAGACAGCATTTTTTAGACATGCCCTGAAAAATGGTAAAACAGACAGAGACAGTTGTTTTTAGATGTAGACAGCATTTTTTAGACATGCCTTGAAAAGTGGTAAAACAGGCAGGGACAGTTGTTTTTAGATGTAGACAGCATTTTTCAGACATGCCCTGAAAAGTGATAAAACAGACAGGGACAGTTGTTTTTAGATGTAGACAGTATTTTTTTAGACATGCCCTGAAAAGTGGTAAAACAGACAGGCACAGTTGTTTTTAGATGTAGACAGCATTTTTCAGACATGCCCTGAAAAGTGGTAAAACAGACAGGGACAGTTGTTTTTAGATGTAGACAGCATTTTTAAGACATGCCCTGAAAAGTGGTAAAACAGACAGGGACAGATGTTTTTAGATGTAGACAGCATTTTTCAGACATGCCCTGAAAAGTGGTAAAACAGACAGGGACAGATGTTTTTAGATGTAGACAGCATTTTTTAGACATGCCCTGAAAAGTGGTAAAACAGACAGGGACAGTTGTTTTTGGATGTAGACAGCATTTTTTAGACATGTTATTAGCAGGAATGGATTAAGGGATTTGGTAATGATTGGCAACATTGATGGATAATGAGCAAATGGAAAGCACAGGGATGAATTCCTAGATGACTGAGCCATGTTTCTAAGGACAAGACAAGAACACTGGCTTGGGCCATGATACTGGTAATAAAGTGAGTTACAGGATAGCTAACAAATATGTGGTTTCTGAGAAGAATGCAAAGAATATCATCGAATGATAGAAAAGGAGCTGAGGTAGTCCTCCTCGACTCAGATAAAAAGCGTAAATTAATTAGAGAACTAATTAGATGTAAAGTTACAATTTAAAAAAGATATGGGCCTTTGTGCTATGGGGCGTGTAGTTCAGGACTTTTGTTTTTGTTTTAAATAGACCAAGTGGTACCTGTTGGGTGATGTGAACACCACGCCAGCTGCCTTTTGACTTCCCAGGACATTACCTGGTGCCCATTTTATTTAGACTAGTAAGACTCGGGAGCCAGGGTAAATTTTAAAGAAAAAAAATCACTTGATGTGGATTAGAACCCAAGATCTTCGGGCAACAGGCGAGTTTCTAACCACTATGCATCTTAAATTAGATGTAGAAGCCAACATTTGTGGATATGTAAACTATTAGTCGGTTTTATCGCTAATTTTTTCCAATTGAAATGGTAGCCGGTCTTACACCAGCAATATTTGGTTGATTATAACCACATGTTGCAGTGCTACTGTCCTTTATCCTTTGCTTTTCTGATGGACCCGTATCACACGGGCAAGTCTTTAGATGAGGCAAAGTTGAAAGGGTAAAGTCGAAAGGGTAAAGTTGAAAGGGTAAAGTCAAAAGGATTGACCTGGTTTTATCTTATTCGGGGCAGTCACTCTTTACAGAATGGCCAGCCACCTGCTAAGAGCGTCACATAGAGCTTGAACACTATAGCTCCGGCAGTGATCCTCAGGGATTCCCATAAACATTGCACTCATGAATTGAACGATGCAGCCATGAAATGAACTCTCCACCTTTAGAGCGCGAGGCAGATGGCGTGATTACTTTGTCCTGAAGACCCTGTGAGATGGTTTGGTCATTTGACGAGAATGCTCTGGTACCAGCTGCCTTGACCTTGGAGCCAAGGTTATTTAAAAAAAGAAAAAGGTCTAGCTCCGTCAGGACCTGAACCCACAACCTTCAAATTTGCATATGAGCATCTGGCCGCTACACCAGGTCGGCTCAGTTGATAGACAGTGCTGACTCAATAATGTTAAACAAATCAGCAGTAGATGGGTGAGGAGATAAATAGGCGAACACATGTGAGTAAGTTGCACAAGATGGCAAAGCATAGGATGTTATGGGGTTTGATGGTTGAGGGTTTTTGCTTGAACCGGGATACAAGGCAGAGAAGAAGAATAGTTTACATGTTCTCCATTGTATAATATTGTACATTACAGGGTCCATCCCATGGTTGATTGTGGCGGAGCTGTTTAGTCAGGGTCCGAGGGCTGCTGCCATGTCTGTTGCTGTTCTAGTCAACTGGATTTCCAATTTTATTGTTGGTTATTCATTTCCTCATTTACAGGTGAGAACAACCCTTACTTTAACTTACAAAACATTGCAAGCATGGCCATGGACTCTTGTCAGTGACCAACCTACTTCAGCAAAGCACAACCACAATACTGATTTAATGATTTAGTAATTTACATCATAGCACACCGGGCACACCAATAGGTGCTCCATCTCCCCCAGCAAATGTCTTGAGGTGTACATACTAACCATTCCCGTAGCACTTTGATTATAAACTTGTTGTTTTCTTCCTCTCATACGCCTCTCCTTACCAGATCCCCATCTAATTACTCATCCACACATTGTCACAAATGTTATTTGATCTAACCTTGTATCTTCTATATACATCTATTCACAAATGGTCTTAAGAATGTCTCCTTTGTCCACTGCGAGTGTTCCTGTAGCTATCGCTTTTGTAGCCAGAAAATTTGCAGTTTCATCTCCTTGCACTCCTGCATATCCCAGATAGTATATCCACGTTAGTTCCTGTAATGTTGGCGGGCAGATGCTTGCTATCCACTCGTGCAACATTCATCCATTTTTGCCCTTCCGCAGTTCCGACTCAGAATCAATCACTATAATTCTTCTAGTTACTCTGTTGTTTTGTTATCAATTTTATAGCTGCAGAAAGAAAAATCACAGCTACCAAACACTAGCATAGACGTCTGGCACTCATTTGGAAACAATGATTAATTGAATGTTGAATGTTGAATTAAGAATCAACATCACAGCATTCGGGACACTCCCATAAGTGCTCAGTACTCTTCTTCAGCAGCAAGCGAAGAGTTCCAATTCTGATGGCACCAGTAACTATCTGATTGTGTATCCGTCTCATCCTTTTCCTGAGTGTTGAGCATCGGCCAGACCCCCCTGGTAACTCCTCGCAGCGCCATTCTCCTTAGACCGTAATAATCTATCTGCACCTTGGCACTGTTTACCTGTCCCTAAAGGGCCCTCACAATATCTAACTTGTGATACATCAGTTCACCACCAAGTGGTGCAGAGCCAGCCAGTCTATTTGCCTGCTCATTTCCTAACACACCAGCATAACCTAGAGAAAATATCCAAAGGATGCCAACTACCCAGGACTTCTAAAGTGATGCTTGCCACTCTGCATTCAGCATGCCTTTTTTCACCCTTCTCAACATGCCCTGTGAATTGAATTATTGAATGATTAAATTTAAGCACTTCCTGACACTTGAAATATCCTTATTTATTATATGCTTCTTCTTTTTATGCTTCTTCATTATACATCTTTTTACATGTCAGCTTTTATATAATTAAAGAAAGCGACAGTCAGCTTGAGGTTGTCATCATCTCCATAAAGAGAAAGGCAAGACGGATGTACAATCAGACAGTTACTGGCACCATCTGAGTTGAAACTCTTCGCTTGCTGCTGAAGATGGACGGAGCACTTATGGGAGTTTCCAAGTACTATGACGTCAATTCTTAATTCAACATTTTAATTCCTCAAAGTGTTTCCTCCACTGAAGTGAGCGTAGGTCGGAATAATGTTCTCTGTTCTGCGTATGTTGGACAGTCTTGCAGTAGATCTTTAGCTGTCAGTTTACCATTCCCATACTTGCATTCAACGGTGTCTAATATTTTAAACCTTTTTAAACAAGAGGAATTTTGGCCTGTTTTGTTCTGTGCAGAATCTACATTTGCTGCATGTTATTTCTGATTTCCCTGGAAATTTGATTGTCTTTCTCATGGCCTGGAGGCTCTAATTCCCACCTGTTTCTCTGAATGCTTCTCAAAAACCTCTTGACCTCACCAAAGGTTATGCTTCTGTCAGACTGTGGTAGTCTTTCCCCTCATTTGTTAATGTTAAACATTTAATTTACTTTAAAACAATTCACGATTCATATATTTATGCTGTTCTGCCTTTGTAAAAGTAAAGGGCCCTTTTTATCTCAGTGACATAGTGGGTTTCTGATTCTAGACTCACATTTTTATAGGCCAATCTGCAGTCCCAATCAGCACAAAGAAACTTCTCATACAAAGCATGTTCATTCCCACCCTATGCTACCAGTGCCAGACATGGTCACTCACAAAACATGAAAGAAAATTAGTAACCATGGAAATGAGGTGTCTGAGAAAGACTGTAGGAGTGACCAGAAGAGATAAAAATCAGGAATTAGGTCATACGAGATAAAGTCGGCACAGAACCAATTCTAAATTACATACACAGCAAATCAAATGGTTTGCCCACTTAAAGAGAATGCCTCCTGATGCTATACCATACAGTGTATACACTAAAACAGGAGAGGGACATAGAGCAAGAGGTAGACCAAGAACAAGATAACATCAGAGAAACTCTGCAACACCATGATGTGTCTATGATCGAAGCAGCCAGAAGAGCACGAAGCAGGTCCTTATATTTCCCTCTACCCGAAGCGGTAAAAGAGGACGTAAAAAAGAAGAAGTAGAATTTGTACTCAGTGGTTATGTGATCAGCATCACGCCTACCTCCATAACTTTCAAGACATTACCTGGGACCCATTTTAGACTGGCTTGACCTATAAACTAAGGTCAGTTTTGAAGGAATTAAGAAAACAACACAAAAACGGGCTAATCAGACTCCGAATGGATTCAAAAACAAGACCTGATATACTCACCTGCACAATTTAATCACACTTTTGTAATGTACACATCTGCGGAGTATACTACTCTGCATGATTTACACAATTATATATGCTTTGTTCACCTACACAATTTATTTATACAGAGATTAGTAATTACAGTAATTGTTTGCACTACCACACGATTAGTGCAAATTTATGCAATCTTTCTCATCTGCAGAGTTTACACCTCTGAATGATTTACGCAGTTCTGTAATTTACTCGTCTGCAGTTCTGATTACTCCTCTACACGATTTACATAAATCATTTACACAGAAATACAAGTAGGAAACTAGATAGTTTGTCTCTTTCTCATTGGTTTTTGCTTTGCATTCTTCATTCCCAGGGTGCACTAGGAAACTACGCGTTCGTCCCATTCTCTGCACTTCTCCTGCTGTTCTGGCTGTTCACATTCTTCTACGTCAAAGAAACCAAAAATAAAACCTTTGAAGAAGTATCAGCCATGTGGAAGAAGCCAGATACAGAATCCACTCAAGTGGAGACCGAAAACACACAGCTGGTCATGTAAAAGACTTCTGTTAATTTCCAGCAATAAAATGGTTTGTGTACTTAAGAAACAGCATTGCTTGAAGGAAAACTTCATTGTATTTAGCAGATGAAGTTTCTGCTGTCTCAATATGTATATTATGTTTTGTTTTGTTGGGAATGTTTGGAGTTTAAGGAATAACCGCTGGTTTTTTGACCAATTTATCTTATTTTATTTTTATTCTGTAAAATGTATTATTGAATTTAGGTTTGTTTAATGTGTTATATTTTGTATTTCTTTCTGTATCATGAAATCATAAAAATTGATGTCAGTTTTTAACTCTTTGAGTCCCAGAAAGATGTTGCCTAATCTCTGTATATAATGAGTGGTTGTTACTTTCACTAATGGATGTTTAATCCAAAGGAATTAGAAAAACACTATGAAGCATAAGAGTTAAATTCACAACTGGTATAGAGTGGGTTAATATAACAACTGGATGAGGCACAGGGGGGGGGGGGGTAAAAAAGGTCTATCCTGTAAATAGGAAGCAAGAAACACATAACTGGTTGATTGGCACTGAAATGCTTACGATTTAATTTTTTTTTTTAAATATTGATTTCCGCAATGTGTGATCATAGAATTAATCTTCTTCTTTCTTGTGTCTCAGTATTTGCTTTGTGTTGTTAAGCGTCACAGTTTAACTGATAATAGGTAGCCGAGCTAGGATGTCCTCGGTTGCTTGGTACGGGGAGATGTCTTAAAACTGTCAGTAACTCCTTCAGTCCATCTTCTTCTAGGTGTCCCTCTGTTCTTGATGTTTCCATTTTCCTGTTGCGTGCTCTCGCTGCTGCTATTTGTTGAATTAATTCTCACTGGGTGGCTGAACCAGTCTTTGTTTTTCACTGAATTGAATATAAGGTATTGTAATAATGGGCATTGTTCTTATAGTCTCGTTATTTCTCTCAGCCTTTCTTAAACATGCTGTTTCACTGTTGGCTAGTTTTCTATCATAATCTTTGGTTACTGTTCAAGTCTGACACTGGTAGCCTAAAATGAGAATTAAGATTGAATTTTTATTTGTCTTTTAATCTCTGTTGAAGTAACCAGGTGTTGCAAGATGGGGAGTAAGTTGATATGTAACATTGTTGGCTCTTTTGATTTTGATCTCTCTGTCTTGCCTACCATTGTTTGTAAAGATGCTCCCCAAGTTTTTGATTTCTTGCACTTGTTTCAGACTTTGGTCTGTAATTTTGTGTGTGTGTGTGGATTGTTGATGGTTTGATATTCTCTGTCAACTCATGACTTCTGTTTTCTTGATTTTGATTTTCTTGTGATGTTTGAGACAGCTGTCGTGTTGGTCTATGTGGTCTTGTATCTGTTTACTTTCACTATGGAATGGGCATTGGTTATTGGCTCATTGATGTTATTTAAAAAAAAAAATGTAACATTTTTTGTTTTCTGTAATGTGGGATCATAAAATTGATGTTTTTGTATTTAATGTTTCTGTAATGTGTATTTGTAGAATTATGTTAGTTTTGTGTAGATTATGTTGTATTGGGAGGTAGCATCTGTTTTCTATTGTTAAAGTATGGTCTAGTAAGAATATTGAATCAAAATAATGAAGAAACAAACAGCAGATTATTGTTTCTTTTTCCTTTTTTGCCTGTTATTCTTCAATGGAGTATAGGTTTTCAAGCCCCTTAAGATTTGTTTGTGTTTGGTTGGCTTTTGCAGCTGAGGATTTTAATTGAATGAGCCGCCTTAGAATAGGTCGCAGCCACATGCACACATAATTTAAGATTGGCGAATCAGCCATGTGCACATGCGGACTCGCACCTGAGACAGCAGATCACATCCTCCAAGACTGTCCCAGATGCAGTATTTCCAGAGAAAACCTCTAGCCCAAAGAGACACTGATGGAAGCCAGACTTTACAGGCACTAATTGAATTTCAAAAGACAGTAAAGTTTATACTAGAGACGGCATTGCAGATATAGATAATTTATTTCGAGCAAATGAAAGAAGAAAAATAACTGAATTAGCTAGACAAGCTCAGTCCTGCCCTTAGTTGCCTCATATGACATGCTTGGTTTTACAATTCTTTGCTTTTCCTTATGGTGTTAAGACACAAATAGTTTTTGCCTAGCACATTTCGCTGTATTTTATGAGGTGAATAGTAAAGAAATATATTTAAGAAGGAAAAGGTCCGCCTCTACAACAGTATGTGTGCAAGTGGGGCATGAACGACACAGGTATTGAAGTGAATTTAAATAACAAGATGCATTGAACCATGTTCTATTGGGGAAGGGGGGGGGGGGGTCAGAAAGTAAGTTGGAAGAAATTTATTGCAGGTAGGTTAAGAGTCTGAGAGTCTGAGAAGATGCATTTTAAAATGGTCTTGAAATGTCATGTTTTAATTGTGGAAGACTTTTTATTAACACACATCAGGTCTTACTAGTCGCACTTGCCATCACTTTTACCTGAGATTCGTATGCCTCCTCTAGCACAGTGTAACACTATTATCTGGAGGAACAGAAAGGTGGGAACAAAAACAAAAAGATTAAAGAGTATAAAGTACTGAAATAATAAAGACACAAACAATAGATTGAACAGTTTATTTCTCTTTTTGTGCAATTAATTCTTCCAGCGGAGAACAGGTAGGTCCTTAACCAAGTTTTGACAAGCACTTTAACAATTGTTCATAAGTGATTGGCTTTTGCAGTTGGGCTTTTTATAGGATCGCGTGAGGTGTTGTGTTGTTCGTCCATCACGAGTGGTGAAGACCAATTTTCATCCAAAGTAGTAATTATCAATGATTATGAGTACGAAAGTGGCTGATTAGTCCAGAATGGGCCTATAAAGTTCTTGAGCAGTACAGACAAGTGGAAACCCCAGTAGGTGTGGGATTAGCAATACGGTTCCTACTAGTCAACCTCTTTTTCTCTGCCTGTGCAATCTCCGCTGCCTAGGATGAGGTAGACCAGAACAGTGATTCCCAGTTAGATAAGACTCATTGACTACTCCCCCCCCCCCACCCACACACACATACACATACAAAAACCTGCCAGGCGCCCTCTACTTGTTAATAGGCATATTGAAAAAAAAAGAGAAATGTATATTCAATCAGTCACTCAACAGATCCTTTACTGTCGTTCTCCTCACGGCACACTAGAAAGTCACTTTCTCTGACCAATAAAGAATAGACCCACTAACAGAAATGTTTAAAAAAAATACTAGTCTTGATAACGCAGCTCAGCTGTAAATCACAACGCAGCGTCCCAGCTGCCCTTTTTTAAAGTTAATGCAGAAGAAGGATAAACTGTTAACATTCTTCATGTAATGATGGTGGGGGGGGGGGGGGGGGGGGGGGGGCGAATGGTTCTAGGTTTTGCTTACATCATTTGAGAGTTCTGCTATTTGTTATGTCCCCTCAGTTATCTTAATAATATAATTTACAATGTCAACTTTATTTTCTGTGTTGTTCAGAAAATACTCATTTGATGCATTCCTGAAGATGTCATTTGTTACTTACAATCAGTTTGTTACTAATTATCAGCCTAATTATAATTATCAATGTGTTACTGATTATCACATCCTGGTGACCAATTTAAGCATCAGCATTATAGCATGCTTGGCATACTTACAGATGCTCTCATTCCCACAGCAAATGTCTGTAGATGTACTTGCTGACTGTTCTAGTAAGACACTGGTTGTACACACATCGTTCTCTTCCTCTGTTAGGCCCTTCTAGCTGGATCCACACTACATTCTGAATTCCGGTCTTGGATTCAGGTCCTGATGAAGCCAGACTGTTTGTGTCAAATTGCCTTGTCTCCCAGGTCGACCCAGCCTTAAATAGGTACAAGATAAAGTCAAGGGAAGTAAAGGTGGCCAGAGTGATGTTGACCACACCACCCACAGAATGCTGATTGGTTTGTTAAATATAGGTCTAGCCCTGTGTGCCCCAATACACCTGAAGGCATGCGAATAAAGTCTTTTATTTTACTTTTACTTTTTATACACATGTCTCGTTCAGAGTTGCAATGGAGTTGATTTTTTTCATGTTTGTCTTTTAGTAACACCATGAAACATATAGCTGACTTCTGATAACATAATAATAATTACAGCCGTCCTCATATAACACCATGATTAGTACAGCTGTTATCTCTGAAAACACCATTATGTACATCTGTTTTCACTCATAACACAACATTTTTCCTGTGATAATACCAGGACTGATACAGTTGTCCTTAAATAACACCAGTGACTAGTACATCTGTATACCTTGACAATACCATGATAACACCATGACTAGTACAGCTGTTGTCCCTTATAACACCATGACAATTACAGCTGTCCCCAGAAAACATCATGGTTAGAACAGCTATCCCCATATAACGCTTTGACTAGGACAGCTGTCCTCACGTAACACCATGACAAAGCAGCTGTCCTCATATTAAAATATGACTAGTATAGCTGTTGTCCCTGATAACACCATGACTTGGACAGCTGTCCTCATATAACACCATGACAAGACAGTTGTCTTTATATTTCAGTATGACTGGTATCGCTGTTGTTCCTGATAACACCATAACAAGTACAACTGTCCCCAGATAACACCATTACTAGTACAGCTGTCCTCAGATAACACCACACTTTTAAATTTATTTGCTACCATAAATAAACTATTGAGTTTTTATGTGTGGACATTTTTCACCTATAAAATTCATGTTATGGATTTTTATCTTTGTCTTGTGGATACAATGATGTTTGACAATGTTGCAAATTACTCATACCTTCACACAGAGACATGGTTTTGAGGACCAAAGTCTCCTAACTTGTGAGGTCTGTACCCCAACCGCTGTCTGTGCCACATGTTGTTTAAAAACCATATCTAGTTATCATTATCAAAGATAACGCTTCTTGAGTTGCAATTGGGTATTTCTGTTGAATATCGTTAATTTGCTATTCTGTGTAGTAATAGTGTGATGACCCTGCTTCGCATGCTCTCCACGCATAAAGCGAGCCAGGCAGGAAGCCCGG